TCCCCCCCCCCCTACCCCCCCCCCCCCCACCACACACACACTTGGAAATATTTCAAGTTGGGTTTTCTTCCTTTCCATTTTTCATATGGAATGGATTGTGTCTTGCTTTGGGGAACGTGAATGAGTATTCCGTTAGCTGTAAGCATAGCTTCCTCCCCACAAGTTTTGGGTAAACCAGAACATCTCAACTAGGCATTCATCATCTCCTGTAACGTTCTACTCTTTCTTTCCGCAATTCCATTAGATTGCGCTAAGTAAGGGGCAATCGTTTGGTGAATAATGCCATATTCTAAACATATTTCTTCAAACGCTGCCTCTATTACTTTGTAGAGCCAACCACATGAACTGTTGCAGAGCCAGAATAAATGGTGAAATTTTTAATCTTCAAACCAATCTGACACAATCAGAATTAATAAACGGTGAAGTTTTTAATCTTCTAACCGAGTAATACCTGATACCGGATCTAATAAACGGTGAAGTTTTGAATCTTCAAACTGAGTAATATGTGACACAATCAAATTTAATAAACGATGAAGTTTTCAATCTTCAAACCGAATAATAAATTAGAGTAGAAAATCACTAAGATTTTAATCTCCAAAGCGAGTATAAAGTCACTTAGACTTTAATTTCCGACAAATGAGTAGAGAAAGTCACGAAGACTTTAATCTCAACGAACGAGTAAAAAATCATGCAGATTTTGATCTCAAAGCAGGAGTAGAAAATCACGAAGATTTTAGTCTCCAAAACCAGGTTATAAAATCACAAGAATTTAATTCCCTTTCCAAATGGTTTTCCAACTAAACCATTATAACACGTTAAACATTTTGATCTCTTTCTCTAATCAAACACATATATGTTCATCTTTACATATATTATATTCATGATCTCAAGAATACTTCAAGTATTACAGTAAGCTTAATTCATGTCTTACCGCCTTGAAAATAACCATCCACATATATTTATGCATGTTATCAAATTCTATATCAACTACTCATAGTTTTTTCATATAGTCAAAGGAATAACAAATTACATGTAAATACATGTTACTCCTACTCATGCATATATTCTAAAAATATATAATATGAGATCATCACATAATAAGTATCTTACCCTAGCATTTGTAAAATGCATAGGATAGGAAACTAAAAATAAGTAGAGTAAGAAAACAAAACCCGGTTTTGTGCCAACTTATATATACGTTGCGGGCTGCAATCATCACCGCATTGACATAAGGGCTGTTAAGTTTATATAGAATCTACTAATTCATCAAAATGAACTTTGATGATCAGGCGCACCGTTTTGTCAAATTCGAAGAGATAAATTTCTCGCATTTGAACATAGGCTAAATTTCTCCCTATATAAATGGAATTTGGTGATCCTCTCCGTATCGATAGCAACGACTATGGCGAACACCAAAAGAAAGCCAGTGCATTTTTTTTAATTGAACCAAATTTGTCATTCTTGGCAGGAAGTATAACAATTTGTCGCCTACCCAATGCCTTCATATAACAATTACTGGAATGTTTACACCCAATAAATATTCTTTCTTTAAGGCAACTATTTGACATGCCTTCCTTCTAATTGGTAATTTCATTGTGCCAAAGCAACACATGGCAGTAAATGACATCGCTATGGTAATCTTCAAACAGAACATTCTAAAGCAAGATCAATTTGCTTTTGACCGAGTGGCCAAGATCATTGCTGTCAAATTTCATGGCCATACAACATTTGAAATAACTTTACCACATCATATACCAGCAAAATGCAACAAAAAGGTATACGAGAAACAGCAACGCATCAATCCTCGCTTTTCTAAGTGTTTAACCAAAAAATAGAATTTCGGTTAAAACTAGAAATTAAGAGAAAAAATCGGGTTACTGATAATCAGGAGACGAAAAGAATAAGGAATTTTTGAGAATAATAAAGCAGTAAATAAGTTTATATTTCAATGTAATCTCAATGATATTTCCTGTCCTTACCAATGCTGAGATCTCCTCCTTTTATAGTTGATTTTTCTAGGAAAAGGTATAATGTCTCAGTCTTAAAGAGGCAATTATGAGCATTAAATGACATTAAATGAAACGTTACACAATCATTCCTATTCAATGCTGATTCGTTAACGTATTTGACATTTAATACTGAATTTAGACTCCTTTATGCTATCAGATTCATATCTTCAATTCCTTCTGACCTCCTGGCTTTAATTAAGTTAAATAGATATGAGACTCGTATCATTTGAATAGCATCTCGTGCCTATTTAACTCTCTTCTCTTCGTATCTGATATCGCTCGTGCCCCTCAATTGATCATCATGTTTTGACCATTTGACCAGTCCACGTGTCATGCCACGTCACCTTCAATATAAATTCAGTTTTTTTTCCCAATACAGA